ATAGAAATTTTGGGAATATAGGAATTTCGAATTTAGGTATTTAGAAGAATTTGAAGAATTTTGGGAATTTTGGGGAATTTGGGGAATAGGAAAATTAGGAAATTGAAGATTTGGGGAATTAGAAATTGAGGCATTTTGGGAAATTTGGAGAATTTGGAGATTTGGGAACTTTGAGGATTTTGGAGAATTTGGAGAATTAGGGGAATTTGGGGAATTTGGGGAATTTGGGGAATTTAGGAACTTTGAGGACTTTTGGGGAATTTGGAGAATTTGGGGAATTTAAGGATTTTGGGAAATTTAGGGAATTTAGGAACTTTAGGGATTTTGGAGAATTTGGAGAATTAGGGGAATTTGAGGAATTTAGGAACTTTAGGGATTCTGGGGAATTTTGGAGATTTACGGAAATTGCGGAAATTTGGGGAATATGTGGAATTTTCAGATTTGACAATTTGGGGATTCATAAGTTTGTAAACTTGAAAATGAAAAGATTTGAGAATTTGAATATTTGTGAATTTAAGAATTCAAAATAAAAAAAAACTCAAAAACCAACTTGCAAATTACAAATATTAATAATCTAAAATTTGCAATTAAACAAATACAATACCTAAAAATTTCGAAAAATAAATTTCTAAATGTTGAAATTTCATTAATATCCTCCTTTTCTACCACAGCAATAAATGCATCAGTCTAACAGTTATAGAAGCACTTACGTACCACAAAACACGTCCGCGGCATCATTTTAAACTTCATTCAATCATTCGAAAAATGCACAACTACGCGAACCATAAATCACACCTTGAAACGCAGTTTGAATTGCTAAAGTAAAAGAGGAACACACGTCCGAAACACGCACGAAACTTATGGCTTGTACACGAGTCGTCCTCTGAAATATTACTTCAAAACTTCAACTGCTAGTTATGTATTATCGCTTCAACTGTTAGAACACAATTTTCTAGCGGACTATATTTCCGTTCATTATTTATAATATATTTTGCTCTTTGTTGTTCTGGTTGGTTCAATGCTGGTATGCGTTGGATCAAGTTTCACTAAATATGAAAATTTAGGGAAAGTGGATTTTTATTTTTTATTCTTGGAAGTGGAGTTTTTGAGTTTTTTTTGTTTTAGAATTTTTATGTTTATAAATTTAGGGGGTTTCGAGTTTTTTGAGATTATGAATTTATAAGGTTTTGAATTTATAAATTTACAAATTACCCAATTTAGTAATTTTCAAATTTTTGAGTTTTCATATTTTCAAATCCCCAAATTTCAATTTTTCAATTTCTCAAATTCCAAAATTTCTAAATTTCCAAATTCTTAAATCCCCAAATTCTCAAATTTCCAAATTTCTAAATCTCCAACCTCTCAAATCCCCAAATTCTCATGTTCCCAAATTTCTAAATCTGCAATCTCTCAAATCCCCAAATTTCTAAATCCCTAAATTCTCAAATCCCCAAATTCTCAAATTCCCAAATTTCTAAATCTCCAATCTCTCAAATCTCCAAATTTCTAAATCTCTAATCTCTCAAATCCCCAAATTTCTAAAATTCCAATCTCTCAAATCTCTAAATTTCTAAATCTCCAAACTCTCAAACCCCCAAATTCCTAAATTACCAAATTTTTCAATTCCCAAATTTCAATTCTCCAAATTCTCAAATCCCCCAATTACAAATTCCCATATTCTCAAATCCCTAAAAAAAATTTCCCAATTTCTCAAGTCCCTAATTCTCCAAATTCCTCTCCGAAATTCCTACATCTCTTTTCTACGTCACCAACATCAAAAACTATTAAACAACACTTTCAACAAAAAATTTAAGTAAGTAAAACAGACATGATTTGACGCACAAGTGTCCATAAACAATTCCCCGCAACGCAAAACGCTTAATAATCGCAAGGCAATCGATTTTCAACTTAAGCGACATCGAATACGGGACGCTTTGTTCGCTCCGAGCGAAGAGTCGAGCGATATTTATCGAGCGATCGTAATTTTCGTCTCGATCCGTATTCAAGGATTTTAATCGAGGTTCGATTATGCTCCTCTCGAATCCGACCGGCTATCGCGGCATCGAGTCGCTCGAATTTATCGATACCCCAGCCATTAACCTACAAACTCTGGTACGATGTATCGCGACGCTCGATTTTACCGGGTAATTCTAAGAGCAATCGAACAAACTGTTTACTCCCATGGCCTTTTCAAAAATAGTCCCGCACAGCGCGCGACCAGGTAGTTGTATCCAGTTATTTGCAGCACTTGTGAAACTGGGTTACGCGTTAAATCGCGCGTTAATCGTGCATCGACGGTGGAAATATTTTTATCAACGGACCGGTGTTATTGACAATGAAAAGAACTTCGATCGGACGCCATCTTGGATAAGCGACTTTGTCTTGGAACTTTTAATACTTTGCTAAGAATTAAACAATTTTACTTTTATTGATAAATAAATAAGTTTTAATTATGAACAGTAATTGTTGAATGATATTTTGATTCAATGTAGAAGCTTAATTTTTAATTCTCATCGGACGCCATTTTGAATATCGCGCGACTTAAACTTTGTATTAAAACTTCTAATACTGTCCTCAGAATGGAACAATTTAATTTTGATCGATAATTAAATAATTATTAATTATAAATAATAATTATTCAATGATATTTTGATCCAACGTTGAAGCTTAATTTTTAATTCTTACTGGGCGCCATTTTGAATAACGCGCGACTTAAACTTCGTATTAAAACTTCTAATACTGTCCTAAGAATTGAACAATTTAATTTATATCGATAAATAAATAGTTATTTATTATGAACAGTAATTGTTGACTGATATTTTGATCGTATATTAAAGCTCAATTTTTAAATCTAATCGGGCGCCATTTTGAATAACGCGCGACTTAAACTTTGTATTAAAACTTCTAATACTGTCCTCAGAATGGAACAATTTAATTTTTATCGATACTTAAATTATTGTTAATTATAAATAATAATTATTCAATGATATTTTCATCCAACGTTGAAGTTTAATTTCTAATTCTCATCGGACGCCATTTTGAATAACGCGCGACTAAGACTTTGTTGTCCAAAGGCTCTCGACATTTTTAAAACTCCGTTAAGAATGGAACAATTCAATTTTTATTGATGAATTAGTATTTATTAACGAAGAATAGTAATTATTAGTTGAATGACTTTTAGTCAAACGTTAAAATTTAATTTTTAATTGTCATCGGACGCCATCTTGATTACCGCGTGACTAAATCTATGACTCCTATGGCGTCTCGACATTTCTAGTACTCCTCTGAGAGTTGAACAATTTAATTTTTAACGATAATTATCTTTATCGGTACAAATAATTATGTTTATATCCCATAACAAAATTATTGCTTGAATTTTTAAAAATATGATTACTATTTGATGACAAGTTCAAGTACCAAATGTATGAAATAAAATAATGAAAAATACAAACAATTATTTCAAATGAAATTACATGTAAGTTCTGCTAAGTTGTAAAAAGTGTACTAAATTTTCAAATAATTTATTTAATCGAAAAACATAATAATTTATCTAATAAATGTGCAATTACAATACAAATAACCTCAACTAAAATCTATAATAAACAAAGCATAATATTAAAAAGAATTATTATAAAAATACTGAATGACTTAATTGAACGACTCAAAATATTGAATGACTTAATTTGAAAATTACTCAAATAAAACCTTACTTCTATAACACCCAGTGTTCGAGTATATTAAAAAAACGTTAACGAATATCATTATCTCCTTCCTGTTACTCAATTATTCAATGTATCAGATATTCTGATAAAAGTTTCCAGTTGCAGCAGTTATTAGGATACAACGTTCCCACGATTTCTTCAATGATAAAACGAAAGTGTGTTCCATTAAAGCACCAACACAGTCGGATTACCAGCGTTGTTGGATTATTGATAGGAGCGAAGCTTGTATCTGCCCTTTACGAGGCACGATTGGATGCATATTTGATGAAACACGGCTAGCAGGGAAGGAACGCATTATCGTCACCCTTTTCATGGCAAGTGAAAAGCGTATTCTTGATCAATATTTGAAGATCGATCTACTTAGCGGCAAAATGGCTGTCCGTGAGGGACTGCCTAAAGAAACTACTACGATTTCAACTTTTCCACCTGTTTACAACCGGTTGATATTTCAGTACTGATCAAATTTTAATATACTCTATCAAATTATTCGCTTCCTAACGTCGTTAACATTTTTATGGTACAGCTACATTACTAATTAAATTACAGGTAAACAGCTTTAAAGATATAGGTGATATTCGAGCAAATTAATAGTTCAAATTTAATAATCACTATTAAACAAAATTTGTGACTTCAAGAAATTTCTGTACTAACATTCATAACTATATATCTAGAGTTTATGTGTCAAACATATTTAGAAGGATAGTTGACACCAGAACCACCACAGCAGTTAAAATGGCTGACTACATTACATTCTTTTCTGCAATGATGTGATGACTTTTGCAGGGATAATGAAAGGTGTAATGAATTTTATTTTTGCCTCATTTATTTCAAGGTATAAAAATATCAAAGTGTAGAAGTAGTCATATTTAGATAAATTTATCGATGTTTTGTTATGAAATTTTACTGCAGTTTTATGTGGCACCACACGAGCATAAATATAGCCACAATGTAACATACTCATCGCTTCGCGCGGCCATTTTGTATACCACCTTAACTGTCGATAGTTCCAGTGTTAAATATGCTTAAAGAATTAGACTTACTACAACAAACTATATAATAAACAACACTACAAAGGGTTCAATCGTTAAAAATTGAAACAACGAAAAAAATACTTTATGATAATGCGATAAACTTGGAAGGTGATGGTTTAACTGAAGGGTTTAATTGACTTGTCAGTGTTCCTACGTTTTAATTCGAGAAATAAACGACACGAGGTTAGTAACTCGATAAACGCCCTATTCCAACACCAATGGCGATTAGATTCTATGAATTACATACCGAGTTGATGGCTGTCATGCTGCTAACTCGACCTGGATCTGTGTCCACTAGCCCGTTGTCACTCTACAACAAAAAAATGGAAAAAAATTGTCGATTAATATGGGCAATAACAGAGCCATTTGATCAATTACGATTGAAACTACAGACGACAAAAACAACGCGTAAATTGCCGCGACGATTAAATATTCAGTGGATCGTTAATCACCGAAATTTGCATTTCAATTAACGCGTCTGTTTAAAACAGAAATACGGAACGAACGAACGCGTTTGACAATTGTTTCCTTTCGTGTATTTACAACAAACTTGGGCTACAGCTTAATTTGAGCTACATAGTTAAATAAAATAGAACCGGTAGCTATTACTTGAATAAGATGTAAACGATAACTAAAATACAAACTATTATTTAAATAAAACACGATAACCTGCACAAATTTCGTTACAGCGAAATGTATTGTGCAAATCGATTCAAAACGAAAGATCAATTGTGCAGCAGAAGTAAGGAAAAAGAGGGCGAAAGAAAAATGGCGGGGTAAAAGAATGCACGTGCATGGTGAATTCTCGAGAACGAAAGTAAATACGAGCTAACATAAGTGCACTTCTAATGGCGGGCACAGGCTTCTGTTTTAATCGTCGTCGGTCGCAATTAAAATCTCGTCTCGTCGAAAATGTTTCTTATTCGATCCGTCTCGTTAAACGAGAACATTAATTATATGACATATGGCGTCCGAATACGTACCACGAGAAATTTACCGGTCGTTGAGAAATATCGATAAATATTTTATTCGTATCTGCTCGTTACGTAACGAGTAACTGATTTTGAAATGTAGAAAGTCTCAAACGATTTGGCGATTTAAACTATTGCGAAATAACGCTAATGGCGTGTCTTGCTGTTTTATTTGCGCGAAGTGACTGCCTGTTTAGGAGCATAAGACTACTTTAGGTTAGGTTTTTGGTATTTTATTATTTTGGTGCTTTGTTCTTTTACTGTTTTACTATTTTACTGATTTGCAATTTTACTATTTTATTATTTTATTGTTATATTATTTTACTGTTTCGTTATTCTACTATTTTACTATTTTGGTATTTTGGTATTTTGCTATTTTGCTATTTTGCTATGTTGCTGTTGTGCTATTTTGCTATTGTGCTATTTTGCTATTTTGCTATTTTGCTACTTTGTTATTTTGTTATTTTACTATTTTGTTATTTTACTATTTTACTATTTTACTATTTTACTATTTTACTATTTTACTATTTTACTATTTTACTATTTTACTATTTTACTATTTTACTATTTTACTATTTTACTATTTTACTATTTTACTATTTTACTATTTTACTATTTTACTATTTTACTATTTTACTATTTTACTATTTTACTATTTTACTATTTTACTATTTTACTATTTTACTATTTTACTATTTTACTATTTTACTATTTTACTATTTTACTATTTTACTATTTTACTATTTTACTATTTTACTATTTTACTATTTTACTATTTTACTATTTTACTATTTTACTATTTTACTATTTTACTATTTTACTATTTTACTATTTTACTATTTTACTATTTTACTATTTTACTATTTTACTATTTTACTATTTTACTATTTTACTATTTTACTATTTTACTATTTTACTATTTTACTATTTTACTATTTTACTATTTTACTATTTTACTATTTTACTATTTTACTATTTTACTATTTTACTATTTTACTATTTTACTATTTTACTATTTTACTATTTTACTATTTTACTATTTTACTATTTTACTATTTTACTATTTTACTATTTTACTATTTTACTATTTTACTATTTTACTATTTTACTATTTTACTATTTTACTATTTTACTATTTTACTATTTTACTATTTTACTATTTTACTATTTTACTATTTTACTATTTTACTATTTTACTATTTTACTATTTTACCATTATACCATTTTAATGTATGTATTATTTTCAAGTTTCCAAAGGTTCAAATTTTCTCAATTTGCAACCTCTCCACGTTTCAAAAGCATTCAGTTAACTAAAGTTACCAAACTTTCCAATTATTCAAATTGTCCAAGTTACAAATTCTCCAAATGTCCAAATTATCCTATTTGTCCAACTTACCGAACCTTCAATATCTTTACCCAAACCTCTAAACCCAAAATCCTCAAATTGCCAAATTTTCCATTTTCTCAACTTTCTAAATTCGAATCAAGACTACAACCTTCTTTCTCCCTTAAAAACCGTACCACAAAAGCACCATAAACGACAACACATAATTCGCCCAGTAAATCCAGCATCGCAATTTGTGCGGTAAAAATTCAGCATGCCATTCGATGAGTCTGGAGGTGGTACGATTCGAACGAGCGACGCCGCTCGAGGTCAAGCGAAAACCAGTCAGGATTATCGAGATGGAAATTCCGTGCTGGCTCGTCGACTCGTCGAAGCGTGTTCGGGGACGTGGTGGAGAGGTCTCGGGACACGAAGAAATAGTACAAAGGCGACAGCGTGGCCACGGAACTGTGAGAGGCGAAAGAGGTGCAAGTGTCGTTCCGAACTTTGATCGTAAAACACCGCTGGACTTCGAGCGGTAGCTACAGCGTCCATCTTGAACGTCTGCCAGATCGGTTATGCTTGAATAAATTTACGTGTCGAAGTTAACGTTTCGCCATACTCCGCCCCCTTATTTCCACCCTGTTACCCCTCTGTGTCATCCCCTCGGACGTTGGAACGCGAGGTGTGATTTCGCCGAGCGATTTTCGGGGAGGCTCGTAAAACGAGGGTGGACCCGTTTTTAATTCTGGACACGTCGCCTGTTTCTGTTTTACGAACCCTCTTAGCCGGGTAACGATTTCGTACTTATGGTACGTCTCTCTTAACGATACAGAAATAAAACGGGTTCTACATCAGTTTTGGTAACGATTGCGAATGCGAGCAGACGGTAAAACTGTCGGGTCTAAGTAGACTTGATCTTAATAATTGGTCTGGGGTGTCTGACCACAGAGAGGTCAAATTTACACTTTGTACATCAAAGGTTGACGTTCACAAAGGAACTCATCCATTCAGTTTGATGCAGTAATTGGAAACTGGTACTTTTAACTGACCCACATGTGTTCATGTGATATGTGACATGTGTTCATGTGGAGTAACAGATAATGACTAAAAGAGGACTTTGGAAAAATCTAAACTTTTCAGCTAGAATCTTCTTGAGTGTACCTTTGAAGGGTTAAAAAATAATAATACTCATTTTTTAAGCGAATCAGCAAGATACAACTACTCACATGTGATTAGCTTCAAGATCATATATGAAGGTCACTTTCAATCACCTTTTACCTTTACCTTCTTTTACCTCCTTTTAACATCACCTTTTAGTCTTATCTTCGTATACCTTTTACAGTGTTCTAAAAATTGGACCTATCCTACCGAAATAATTATTTATGCTAACTATTCACCTTCTGTCGCAACCAACCGAACTTTCCTATTGTTATTCGCTATAGTTAAAAACGGGCCAAAAACAGATTCTGGCTAACGAAGACGACACGCGACGCAATAAAGCGGTCGAAAGATTTAAAGGTGTCGTCCCAGGGGCACGCTGTACAAAGTTATTGAATGCAGCCAGGAGTTAAATCGAAGCACGGGGCAGTCGTAAAACACGTTACGAGCTGGCGTTAATTTATGGCGGAGCACGGCTACCAGATCGCTCACTTTTCGTCAGCGACACCGTGGACCATGAAAATCATTCCGTCGTCTTAGAACGAGTGGGGAATTTACGACGGCCAATTATCGACCTGTGCCGACCTACGTAGTTGCCAGATCATCAAATGTTCCTTGAGGAATCCTATAATCTTCGGAGACGTCGATGTTCTATTTTCATTGATGATGATAACCTTGTTTGTAAAATGGAAAACGTTGACATGGCTGTAAAATCTGACTTTTATAGAGAGAAGAATGAACAATGGAAGAGACGTTCGATGTGTTGATTTTGAGGGATTTTTAGGGGATTTTTGTGGATTTTTTTGGGAGCTGAGAATTTTGGGATGTGAGAATTTGGGAATTTTAGGATTTGGGGATTTAGAGATATGGGGGTTGAAGTTGGGGAAATAGAAAGTTGGGGATTTAGAGAAACTGGACCTAGAAATTTGGGGATCTAGGGAAACTGGACCTAGAAATTTGGGGATATAGGGAAACTGGATCTAGAAATTTGGGGATCTAGGGAAACTGGACCTAGAAATTTGGAGATCCAGGGAAACTGGACCTAGAAATTTGGGGATATAGGAAAACTAGACCCAGAAATTTAGAGATCTAGGGAAACTGGACCTAGAAATTTGGGTATCCAGGAAAATTGGACCCAGAAATTTGGGGATCTAGAGAAACTGGACCTAGAAATTTGGGGATCCAGGGAAACTGGATCTAGAAATTTGGGGATCTAGGAAAACTAGACCTAGAAATTTAGAGATCTAGGGAAACTGGACCTAGAAATTTGGGGATCTAGGGAAACTGGACCTAGAAATTTGGGTGTCCAGGAAAACTGGATCCAGAAATTTGGGGATCTAGAGAAACTGGACCTAGAAATTTAGAGATCCAGGGAAACTGGATCTAGAAATTTGCGGATGTTGGGTTTGGAAACCTAGGGATATTGTTACCTACAAATTTGGAACTATAGTGATGGAGCCTAGAAATTAGGGAACTTAGAGATATGGAGATCTGGAAAGTTGAGGATCTAGGGAAATTTAGAGATCTAGTGATATAGGAACCTAGCAATTTAAAAATCTAAGAAATATGAAAAGCTTCAAATTGAAAATTTGTAAAGTTTACACATATCATCCAAAAGACGTCATTGCACATATGTGCATATATACAAAGTGCATGTTGCAATATAAATTGAAATTTTACTAAATGAACGACACACGATGCACAAGTATATTTTCCCCAATTTTCCCCAGAAGTAACCAGCTTTTTCAGCAGACATCACACGACTGGCACTTATCTGTTTCTCCTTATCCACCGTGTCGCCACCCAGAAGAATTACAATTCGATTTTTCTTATCGATACGGCGGCCTGTCGTTG